TTACTTTTAATTCCTTTTTCTTCCAACTAATCAACCATGTAGTAAATCAAATGATCTTAAAAGTCACATTGAGCCCATTACAAACACCCTAACCCAAATGAAATGAGGGCATTCATAATCTTTAATCAATGAATCCAATGCATTAAATGAGATGTCCTATGTTAATGGAAAGCCATAAGTCCAAATTGGCCCCATGGTTTGCTAAATTGTTTATAAAAATCCAACCTAACCCATATAAGTTAAAATGGGTTAAGTGGGATAAGTTGATCCCAAACATTAAATTGGTATAAATTGTTAGACATTAATCCTTTTGAATTAGCCTTAAATAGAGCTCAACATTGGCAAATTTAATTTTACTATTGGATTAACCATAATTGGTCAAGTAAGTTAAATTTTCCATTAAAGGGAATATACTCTTTTGTAAATGGTATAGTTCAACCAGATGGCCAAGTTAAATTAAGCCCTTGAAAGTGTTTCTAGAGAAGGAGTTTAGTAAAATAAACTTAGTTTGGTACAACCCAATTTGACCATTTTAAGTTAACAATTCAATCAAATGACCCATCTTGTCTTTTTAGAGACCAAATAAGGACATATACTTTTTAAGATGGATTAGTCTAATAAATTGTTCCAATAAAATTAAATTGTTGAGATGGTTTTAATTAAGAATGTTAGAAACATATTCTTAGTTTTGCCCAACCTCTTTTAACCATCTTAAGTATGTCAATTAAACTAAGTAAACTAACATGTCTTATTTTGGCTGAGGTTAATTGGAATGGAGTTAAACACATCAAAGGGCTAAAACATTTATCTAAATCAATTTCATTTAACCTTAACCAACCTATGTTAATACTCCAACAATTTTAATTCTCAACCCATCATCTAAGTCATTAGGTAAAAATATGATAAGAAGGAGATAAACATAAGTACAATGGACCAATGGTTTATTTCCAAATTTGGCTTACAATGATGATTCAAGTACACCAAAAAGATATTTAAAACCTATTATCGTAACACTAGGGAATATTTTAGTGGAATATTCCATCTTCTTTTTCACTTATCTCACCTATAATGAGCATAAAAATGTTTTATTTTCTTGGATCCATTGTATGTTGGAAGATGTTGACTCACGATCAATTATTCTAATTTGCTCAACAATTTTGATGGAGTTTTGTGGCATTCAATTCATGGGATCTAGGCCTTTCTTCCTAGTGGCTTTCACAACTAAACATTGCTTGAGATGGTTATCTTATATAATTATTCAAAAATAGAATAATAATAAAATTTCACCTTTGTGAGCCTCAAAAGTACATATAGGCCATTAACGTTGCGCGAAGGTGTTTGGATATGTAGCAAAAGACTAGAGATAAGTAGAAATGGAATGAATACTCTCCCTTGATCACTTGTTCTCTAGTCGTCTCTCTTATAACCAAAGAGTAACAATTGATATGCCATGGTTTGGATGGATTAACTCATGCTTAAACTATTACTTATCTCTTAGCTTATCACCTGAAGGCTTCGTGTGAGCTTAGGTAAATTTTTTAAGTGTATTGAGCCATCTTTGGAAACAATTTATGGATAACTCATTAGTCCATTGTATATGTGTTCATATCCTTCTAACCCATGTGTTTATCCATGGTTTGGATGATAGGTTGAGAGTTGAACTTGCTAGAGTGGTTAACTTTAGGGAGTTTAAAGTTGAATGCAATTTATTTTGATAAATGGTTTAGCAATTTTATGGGTTTAACCCTATTCCAACTAACCTTATACCAAATGAGACATGTTAGTATAGGGTAGACCACAAGGTAAGCGATGAAACACCAAATCTAGATAGATAGCAATCATTACAAAAGTAAGTCTATAAATGGATGATTGAAAATATAAAGAGTGATAATTTATATGAAGTGTAATATGAGGTTCCAATTTAGTCAAGAGGACTAACTCACATGAATGCTTAATTATATCTAGAGTTGATGTTTTAAATGTAAAAGAAATCTTAGATATTTAAAATGATTGCGTTTTCATAATTATAAGTCATGAAAGATAACTCGTAAGTACAAAACCAGAAGCATATAGCCTATATGGATTGCAGGCTTATAAGACACAGACACAAGTCATAGTGATGTCAAATATTATAGCGAAACAGTAGGTTGCAATGGATTTGTCGTGTAGGACGCCACAAGATCATCAATGGGGTTTCCACACATGGTCTACTTTATGATGCAACATATTTTAAATTTGTCTGATTGGAGTGAATGAAAGATACACCAAAATGCTATAATGATGTATTTCAAATTTCTCCAAAAAATTACTTTATATTTATTTTATTTTATGTCAAAATTTAATTTATGTTACTCTAAACTTACATTCAAATAAATAGCCACTAAGAACAAATGACATGTAATTATATCTTCACTGGAAAATATGGATGGACTATTATGAGTGAAGGAAAAACATTACATCGAGATCTCTTAGTGTTTTTAAATAAAAATACAATACAAATGTTTAAAATAAAAATATTTAATCAAAACATAGATAATAACATGATAAATAATAATTTTGAATGTCATTTCATAATACAAATATTCATCATAAAATAATTATACAAACATTCTATATTCGATCAAAGACCACCATATTAGACTTTGAGCCCATAGTATTTCATTCCGGTTATTGTAGAAAATAGTAAAGTTTGCCTTTGGTGTTTCAACTAAAATGGACAAGCAAAATAATGCTTTATATATAGAGAGAGAGAGAGAGAGAGAGAGAGAGAGAGAGAGAGCCGTGCTCAAATCAAAGTAAAGTAGTTATGATTTTTAGTGATTAAAATTTAAAAGATTATCAAATGTTTTAAATCCCAAACGTAATTACCAGATCTAATTGCTTGTAAGTAAAAGTTTCATGTAAGAGATTGTTTTATTGCGTTTTTGCTGTATTTTTGAGAAAAAAAAATTAAGAGATTTGTTTTTTACTCACTGTATGAATAAACTAATATTATAATATATCTGAGGTATTTAGAAGTGTTTGTTGGGCTTTAAACTGATAATACAGGAAGCGATTTGAAAGATAAATGTATCGGCATGTACACAAATAACTGACTCATCGGAAAGCCGACGTTATATATACTCGTTTTGAATTCTATCTTTAAGAATAAAGCACTCATCCACCTAAGCATTCTCATCCCTGCAACACTTAACTTAATTTTATAATTCTCTTTTAACGAACAATATTATGCACCATAAAGCATTGCAATTCTCATCCACCATCTTATAAAAATTTTCGCTTAAATTTGAGGGGTATTTTTCTATCACATAACATACCCGTTGCATTTCTCCACTTCGACCATCCAACATGAATTCTACTAATAACATCCACATCAATTTCACCATCACTTTAAACAATAATCCCACTATATCTAAATCATGTACTCTTTTTAATAACTTGATCGCTCAAAATCACAATCCTTGCACTAGATCTGTTACTACTAAAATTATACTTCATGTATTCAATTTTAAATAAGATCAAACAAAAATTTTTGGCCTTTAAATTGACCTCCATAATTCAAATTTTCCTACGACTCTCTCTAATCTTATCAACAAGAAGAATATCATCAACAAAAATCATACATCATGATACATCCTTTTGCAAATATCTAGTAAGAACATCCATGACTAAAGAAAAAAAGATATGGGTTTAAGACTGATCCTTGGTATAATCCAATTGAAATAGAAAAAAAAATATCTGATCAAACAACCTTTATTTTAACACAAATAATAACTTCTGCATACATATCCTTAATGAAAGCATTATTAACTCCATTCTTTTCTAGAATTCTCCAAAGCATTTCTTTTGAAACTTTATCATGTTGTTTTATCTAAATCAATAAATATAATATGCATATCATCCTTATTTTTTCTATAATTCTCCATCAAATCTCTAAATAAACATATAGCTTTCATAATAGACCTACTCTGCATGAATATAAATTAATTTAAGGGGTTTTTTGTTTGACTGAAAAAAAAAATTAGTATAAAAAAAATAAATACAATATAAAAGAAATACTTTAGTTTGTTTGAATGAATGTAAAGGATTTAGGATGACATAACTTTTTTATTTTTCTGATTTGAAGTAAAATGAATAGCGGTGGAGCTAGCAATGGCCGGAGGCCACCGGAGGTGGTTGGCATGTGATGACCAGAGGTGGCCGATCGGTAGTGGCGACCTGCCGTGACAGCCAAAGGTGATGGCCGACGATGGCGGCCGGAGGTGGTGGCCAAAGATGGTTGCCAAAGGTGGCAGCCGGCGGGCGGAGTTGGCCGACAAGGGGTGGCAATGCCCTCGAGTTTATAATGTATTTGAAAATTGTCCAAATTGAAGGAATTCCAAATACACCAAAAATGAATTAGAATAAAATAAATTGCATTTGCTTTAGCTTACTTCGAATTTACTTTTCATACAAACAAACACCAAAATTTTCAAAACCCCTACATTTTAACTACTTTACACTCTAAATGCAACAAATCAAATAGCCCCTAAATTTTTAGGTGCAAGAAACCTACATTATAAATAATCATCAAGAGAAAAAAAATATACAGTTCATACGCTATAATAAATTCAGAAGAAAATCAAGATGAAAGCAAAAAATTCAAAGAAAAAAAAATCTAAATTTAGCTTTAATAAATTCATTGTGATCCCCATCCCAACGGGATACATCAACAGTTTAAACACTAAAATATTAAGATTGTTAAAATTTTCCTCCACAGCTAACTTTTATCAGAGCATGGAAGCATAGAAAGTGTCGACTTTTTACAAAACTTTCCTGTAGGGCACCATAATATGCTTAAGGAAATAGTTGATCAAGACAAAGAAGAATAGAACTCTCATAACCAAACACACAGCCCTAAACAGTCAGCAATAAAAGAACTAGACTAAATAAAAAAATGATCAATTTTCCAAAGAATTGAGTAGGGAAAATACAATCATTCCCCGCTTGGAAAAATAATAGCTGCTTGAACATGCAAGCTTTTTTGCAACAAAGAAGATAACTACATAGAACTATATAATATTTAGAAGTGCCAAATTGAAGGAAATTTTGTTAAGGCTTCAAGCTCAATTAGATAATCAGAATTCCAAAAAAATATCACTAAGAAAATTATGTAACCATGAATGATAAAAACTATTGGAAGGCTGAAATTTTTCTCATAGCTTTAAAGCTTTGTAATAAACTCAAAACTGGCATACGCTACAATCTACCAGTTATCTTTGGTGAACTCTAGAAAACCTCAAAGCGCAGCAAAAGCTTTCTTTCCCTTGGAACCACCAGTAGACCCAGCTGGAATAGCTTTCAACACATTGAATCTGACAGTCTTTGCCAATGGCCTGCATCACATAGACCATAAAATTCCAGTTAATCAAATATGAATATTAGAGAATAAGTACAGCATGTCATGTGTTGGGTCCAAACCTGCATTGTCCAATGATGACATGATCGCCTTCCTTCACGCGAAAGCATGGCGAGATATGTGCAGGAATGTTGGAATGCCTCTTCTCATATCTATATCAAACAGGACAATTTGAAAGAAATATTCGGCAACAAAAAGGGTGAACAGTCTATTTATCGTTCTACCTTTGATACTTCTTCACATAGTGAAGGTAGTCACGCCGCACAATAATGGTTCTATTCATCTTTGCGCTGTAGCACGTGCCTGCTAAGATACGACCTCTAATAGAGACAGTACCAGTGAATGGGCACTTCTTGTCAATATAGGTCCCTACAAACAAGAATAAGATATCTTCTTGTAAGCAAATGATGCAATTCAGAATAGTACAATTAAAAGAATACTGGAAGCAACTGGCTGAAGTGAAAAAAGAACTAAACATAAAAGAAGGAAGCCAAAACCCGACATATGCTTAAAAAGGAACAAAATAAAAAACAGCAATGTTTAACAAGCAAAATAGGTGAGGTACATTGCCGGAAAAGGTGCCTTTTTGTTAAGAATTATGTGATGGGATTTATCCAGCTTGAACAATCATCAAGCTCCATCGCTTGGGCTTCATCCATACATGAAATGCTTTCAATTCCCCTACTATAATGCTATGAGAATTGCCAAACTCCTGGGAATTGTCAAACTTTGCTAGCAAATGGACAAAGTGATGAGGACATCGACAGACGCTACCGACATGTTTATCGATGACGGAATCGCAGATCGACGGCCACGATTCAGCGCCTCTACTTTTGATTCAAATGTCATGATGTATTATTTAGTTATTTACTATTTTCCGTTTTTACCCCTGTGGGGAGTTGTTTTGTTATTGTAGCTCAGAGGGCAATTTCGTACTTTTCCTTTTTCATGAGTATATAGTGGTGCTCATATGATGTATTGGGTTAATGAATATTTTGAATGAAATCTTATTTTGTTATCTTCTTCTTCTTGTGGTGCACTAGAGAGGAGAACGAGAGCCCAAGGTGAGGGCAAAAGCAATACCCACCAGTCATTGGAAGAGTCCATGACTCGTGGTCTATCCCCCATCATCCCGCTCTTCTTCCTCTCCCCAACCCGCCGGCCCTAGCCTCCCTCTTGACCGCCGGCCACCCACCAAGATCCTCCAAAATGAGATCGATACAATGTGCTGCGCACGGTGTCCAATATAGGTGTGTCCTCTTCTCCATCAACATCTGACCAGCTGCTTTGTATGCACTGGCATTATCAGTCACTATCTGGACAACCAATTGCTCCCCAATCTCCTCAATAACCCCATCAAGTAAATTGAAAATGAATGTAGCATTTTTCACCTCATCTGATCGTAAAAACACTGTGCCGTAGGGATTGTTCACAAGGATGTTAATCAAGCTCCTGCTCTTCATGTCAGACCATCCATCTGACATAATAGTCACACCAGTCTCAATCCATGTCCTTTTAATCTCCTGAATGCTCCGCTCTGTGTTCTGCAGCTCCTCTTTTAAAATCCATGTTCGTAACTCATACATGGAAGGTGCCTTCAACCCTCTTCCATACAATCCTACAGACCGCAACATACTGAAGCAGGCAGGCGATGTAACAACATTAAATGGTATTGCATTCTCAAAAAAAAACCTCCCAATGTCCATGCAAACCTGTCGCCGACCCTCTCTAGTACCAGCTGCAGGCATCATCTCTGCTTCTCCTCTATCCACTCCTGGAGTAGTCATATACTGATCCATAGGACCCCATGCACCTCTACTATGTATAGTGGAGGAAGAGCCCTTTCCACTCTCGCTCCCAAAATAAGCACCATGCTCGACCCTTTCATCAAATTGCTCCTGTTGTAAGTGTTTAGCAGTGGTAGTTTTCTTCATGTAAGCACTTATTTCTTCCTTCACATTGTCCGGCACTTTTGCACATGGTGCTACTTTTTTGTGCGAGCATGATAGATGTTCCTTCATGCGGGTAACACCTCCCTTCACCACTTTATCGCAAAAATGATATTTCAAATAAACATAGCTCTTCTCTCCACCGCCAATGTCAACTTGTACACTATACTTCCAAGAAGGGTCTCTCCGCAATGACGTATTCGTCTTTTCTTTACCTCTAACCATGTCTGCTAAAGCAAAAAACCAAATACACTAAAAAAAATCAAAAAAGCCTAAACCCTAGTTTTTCTTAAACTTGAAAAATATATCCCTAACCTTGATAAAAATACCTAAAATTCAATGTGGAGTACTCCTAGAGGGCGGCCGGAAGTTTCCACTTCGCCGGAGAGAGGCGGCTCCGGCGGGAAGGAAGCCGACGGCGTGCTGAGGCGCGACCTGGAGCGTGCGGGAGGGAGAAACCGAGAAAAGTCGGGTTTAGCAGAGAAGGCTATCGGGTAAAGGGAGAGGAAATGGCTCATTTTAAGTGAGTGGGCCCTATCCCAGAGAGGCATACGCCTCACCAGGAATTGCGCAATTGCGCCTCTGAGGCGCGCCTCAGTCCCAGTGAGGCGTACGCCTCACTAGAACCAGGAATTGCGTGGGTTATGAGGCGTTTTTTGAAGGAATTGCGCAAAGGCGCACCTCAAGGCGCGCCTCTAATTGCGCAATTTTAAACAGAGCTTAAATATATTAACATTCAGGATATTAAGTACAAAGTTATAAAAATATGTTTACAAAATATATTTGAATTTCATATATTAAGTGAATTATTTATTATTTTTCTTTTAATTTCTCATTTATGTTATCATTTTATTATAAGAATTGCTTGAATCATAATCATTTTGTCTCTTTCATAATAAACGAGGCGGCTCAAACTCGTAGAATAAAGCTTGTGCTTGAATTTGATATCGATTAATTAATCAAGCTCAAGCTCTAGCTCAAGTCAAGGGTGATTCTAGCTTGACTAGACAATTTTACATCCTTAACTGTTGTCATTAGCAAATATCTTAAATCAAACTATTCTAGCGCAACTAACCATTTCAACGATAATCTAGAATGCATGAGATTTTCAGCTCTAATACAATGGAAAAATCGGTCAACAGTTCAATTGCAGAGGAAGGATGGCCTTCGCCACTACAAAATGATCACTAGAATCAATGTCAACTTCTCAATTGTAAAATATCTTGAATCTTCTCCCCAAAAATCCTTGTTTATATAATAACTAACTCATAGTTACTTCCTCGCCCTTAAATACAATGGCTCTAGGGTTGCACAATAATGAATGAGCAATTAATAACATTTTCACAAGCCAAAAAGGCTTTTCATAATACAAAATTCATTTGAACTTCATGGCCCCGCCAATTACATAAAAGAAAAGTGCAAATTTATCACCAAATCAAAAAATGAGACAATTGAGATCAGCAACTCAATAGATAAGCTTTTGTGGTCCTGTCATAGCAAACAAATATGACATGAAAAGCATGGCTTTAACCTTATTTAAATTGGCCTATATCCCCTTTTAAATGACAAAAAAGCCTAGAATTTTTCTTGTTCCTGACTTAAATGCAAGCTTCATCAAAGTGAACATCACATTGCATTTCCTCAAGTATTCCAAGTCTTACCCCGGTTATTTTACTTATGACAAATAGATCATCAGCATATATTTTGAAGTTCATTCCTTTTGATTCTTGAGGATCATATCCATCATCCCATTACATGTGCATAAAAATTTTTAAGCCCAAATTACATAACCGCCTAAACCATTTTCTCAAACTCCACTCTCCAAATCAGATTACATGTCTATTTCCTGGCACATTTAAAACTAAGCAACTAGGTTCTGCTTAGCATACAAATTAGTAGAATAAAATGTAAATTAATGCTTTCAGAAAAATGTACATTAATTCTTATCCCATAACAACATATATTTTAATAAAATTATCAAGGATATAGATTAAGGATCAATAGGAACATCACACTTTAATGTCTAGTTAGTAATGGTGATCATCAACAATCGTATTACCAAGAATATCTCAATAACATTGAAGAATGCCTAAAACCTTTATCAATGTTTAACAAAATAGAGCATCATTACAATAAATAAAGGTTGACCTGATCAATAATAGCAAAACTATACAAGAAGCATAATGCACGGCCACTAGCCAAAACATCAAGCATTTTATACTAAAAGGTTAAATCTGACAAACAAGAGAAAATTCTGGAAATCCATATACCATGCTTAAAAAAAACAATCAGGGATGTATAAAATAAAGAACTTAATTGCCAAAAAATGCCCGGGTATTCATCCCACATAAGTAAAATAATAACCTGACACAGGATGCACAGACAATCACCAATTACCAAGTTTCAGAGTTCACACCTTCAATAGCCTCCCTTGGAGTCTTAAATCCAAGACCAATATTCTTCCAAAAGCGGTTACCTCCCTTGCCAGGCCTATTTCCCTTAGCAGACTTCTTTGAGCTTTATCAATCACAAGTTTGTTAGAGTATGTCATATAACATAAACAAGCAAGAGCGACAAACATAAATGATTGCATCAAATTCTTACCATAAGAATACCTTTGGTTGCTTAAGAAATGCCTTCTCAGTCTGTACAAGAAAATTAAATACTTCAATAAAATTTCAAGGGGGTTCCTTAAGCTTGTAAGCATATAGTAATAATAAAAATCATTGCAATTAGCTACTTGGTTGCATACATTCAGTGAGATTTAGCCTAATTTATATCAATGGTATTTAGAGACAGCTTGTGATAATGTATTTGTTAAATCTAGGGCTAGGTTTACTAAATTCAACCTTAAGTTCAAAATTTAATAAATCTAGACATTCCCAAGATTGAGGGACTCTAGTTTCTATTTAGACTAATCATTTAATTATTATGCATTCTGGAAATCATTCTTATTTGGAAAAATTAAGCACAAATTAAAATAACTAAAAAAAATTAATCCTTCAATTAATAGTTCATTACTGGCATGACTACAAATTATTCAAGTTAATTAATTTCTTATTCAGTACATTTATATTTAATTAGTCAAATTTAATAAAATTAATCTATGGTCCCATCTAAGAATTATCTTATCCTAATTACTTTTAAGCTATAATTAACATATATTATTATTTAAATTCTTAATTAATAATTAACACGCACGTTAAATATCATTTTAAGTGATTAAAATATGTTATTATCCAATCAAGATTAGTTAATTCCTAACTACAATAATTATTATTCACATCATAATCAGACCTCATTTACTCTTCAGTGAACACATAATTTATTAAGCAAAAGCCAACTAAGTATTAATTAATTACTTATTAATATATTTATTAATATAATAATTAATTTACTTTTACTTAGTCCTTTATTTATTTTAACTCATCTAAAAGCGATAAACAACAGAATGATTATATTAAAGTAAATGTTGGAGATACAACTACTGAAGATAAAATGATTAAAATAAACCTATGTGGTTTGGACAACTTTAACAAAAATAGAAAATATGCCTATTAGATGAGTTATAAAATTAAAAGAAAAAAAACTTAAGTTACAAATAAAGAATACATACAACAATAACAACATCAAGCCTTTATCCCACTACATGAAGTTCGCTGCATGAATCATTTTTCTCCATTGTATCTTGTTAAGAGTCAAATTCTCATTTAAATCTAATAATGAAATGTCATTTAAAATATTTTCTAACCAAGTTACAACTTACAAGTAAAGAATGTATGATAAGTTAAAATTAAATTTATTGAATTAAAGGTGTGGTTCAATGTTTGAATAGAAGAGACCAATTAAAATTAGGTGTTGCAATAGATGAATGGGGAAGAGATAGGGTAAATAATCCCAAAATAAAGTAGTTATGAATGCATAAGATTGGTAGGAAAAGAGTATAAGACAAAAGAGATTACACCATGAAAAGATGTTGAAATAATATGAATTTTTTTTCTTGAAGCTTCAAAAGGGAGGATCTTGAGATAGATAGATGAGAAGTAGTATTTTTTTTAAAGCTTTTTGACTGTTTTATTTCCCTTCTTTTTATAACATAGAAAGTTGAATTAGGCTATTAAAATTCAAGAACTACTTATAGTTTAGCATTTCATGCTTCAAATTGCAACCTAAAACATACGCTTCACATCAAGAAGCTTATGCTAGATACTAATGAATGCTTTGATATTCACGCTTTGAAATGTTGTGGGATCGCTTTGCTTTAAAGTGCTTTTTTCACTTTAAAGTGTGTTATTTTAAGAAGAATTCATGTAGTGGGATAAAGGGTTGATGTTGGTGTTGTTGTAAAGTGTGTTGTTTTAAACACCAAGTTTAACAAATCAAACAAAAATCAACAAGAATGAATAAAAAATGAGAATTCATAATGCTAACAATAATTGGTTGGGACATAGCTAGTGATGATGAACTTTTAATTGAATTTAATAAAATTTAATCAACAATGTTAAACAATAATTATACCTTCTATTAACATCTTGATCATTAGCTAATTACAATAATATTAAGTTCAATTAATATTTTAATGAACTTATATTTGCATTTTAGAGAAAAAATGGTTGACATAGTTTAGTGAAGCAATAATTACCTAATTAAAACCTAATGAGAAGCTAGCCTCTTGAATATTTGTTGATTTGTTAAACTGTGTTGCACAAAATTTTGAACAAATTAATATTTTTAAAACTACTTAAAATCCACTAATCCTAAATAGCAATCAAACAATTTTAAAATTTAACTCATATAGTTTTTTTTCTTTTTAGGGATGGAAATTTATCCCAAATACCTTATAGGTAAGGATGATATAAGGCCAGTTAAAGATCAAATTCAATGTAGGGAACTAGTGAATATTTAGTTAAAGAAGGTCCCAGGCTAGACAATAACATGTGCCCTACATTCTAAAAACCAAGGAACATATTTTTTAAACTAGAGCTCTTTGGTAACTCAGTACCAGAGCTGACATTCCAATAGTTTTATGATATAAAAATCTCAGGATTTATCAGATCGGGAATCATAGGATGATAAAAGTCGAATTTATTAAACCAAGTGGCCTGGCCAAACAAAACAATAACAACCTAAAAAACGCTTGCATCAGTCAACATTGAAAAAAGAAAATTCTAAATGAACACTTTAAAGGCTCATATTTTGTCATATAGTGCAGATAAAATGGTCAACATCAAAAACTGAGACAAGGTTAATGACACTGGTATGAAATGACCATGGAATCGAATAAGCATGAGAGAACGGCCTAGGATACAGACAATTACACCGCCGGAAAGTGGGCTCATCGTTGCAATTCACAATTCTGCAACAAGAAATAGACCATTGACCGATCGACCATCTCTAGGTCACAAACCAATTCGTTAATGTATCAGCATTATGCGATTCCAAATCAAATAAACTTGCCAAGATTTAATCACAAACTTTATGTTTGTAAATAGGAAAAAATCAAAATCGGACTCCAAACATAACAGAAGAATGAAAAGAACGAGGAACTTAGATAAGACCTGTTCCGCCATTGTTGATGAAAAAGAACCGACGTGAAGTATGCTACGGGCTTCGGTTGCGGTTGAACTGCGAGGTGTCAGCTCTTTCGAACAAACTCCAAACCCTAACTTGTCCGCAGGCCGAGAGGAGTATTATATCGTAGTTTCAAACGAAATAACAGACGGCTACGATTGCGTTTTCAGAAAATGAAAAAAATCTTTCTACCTCTTCCATATTCATACAATCAGTTAATTTTAGTTCTAAATATTAATAATAATAGAAAGAAAAAATCTATCATCTTAACCAAGTATTAGAAAATTAGATTGGACTGGCCAATTCAACTGATTAAATCGTGAACCAGTCAGCCGGTTGATTCCTTTAACCCATCGAACCGGTTTCAAAGCGAACAGGAGAAAAAACCGGTGCCCGATCGGTCTGACCGGCGAACAGTAGAACCGATCGGTTTGAAAAAATAGAGGATTTTAGCCTTTGATTGTAGATCAAACGGCGAGCAAAAAACACAAGAAAATAGCAAAAGACATAAGAACAGATCGTCCTAACTCTTTTCGCTCGATTGCGAGGTCTTCTGTCATTCATCTCCCTCGCTAGCGCTGTCGATTGGTGAATTTGACGACAAGGTGTTTGTATTGCGGTTGTCGTTCGTGTGTACAGTGCTGCTGTCGTTCTTGTGTACACTGTCGCCGCCGCTTCCAGCAGCATGTAATTTTTTTTTTTTTTTACCCAGTGCCATTGCTTCTTGATGGCGATGTTCGTCTATTTTTATGTGCAGCTATTTTCACTTATGTCTAAAATTTTTCTACTTGGTCTCTTTTGTATTTTATTAAGTACTTTGAGTACAGTTTTTTAAGCCTGATGTGCATAGCCTTTTGTCCTACCTATTTAAAGCATCTGGCCGAATCAAAGCTGAGTAAACTGCACATTGCATAGCTCTGAGCTCAAGCGAATATCATTTTGATTGGTCTCTAAAGAATAAGGAGATCTCACTTCGATTTGTTTAATACTTGAATTATTGATGACATATTTAATTTTTTAGTTTCTATTGGTTGAAATTTTTTATTAATTTAATATTGTAATGGGATATATGACGCACTCTTATTTTTATTTTTAATGTAGTTTTTTCATCAGATGCTTTCCTCAACTTTGCCTTCTCTATGGATTAGATATATTCATCCAATTTCAAATTTATTAGATTTAGATGCTTTAATGCATATGTATTATTTTGTTGCTAAGTATTTTCATAATATACTTGATATATCATCAAAAAATTATCTTGATCGGGCACAAATCTCAAGGCAAAAATCAAGTTGAAAACTTCAAAAATTAAATCCGGGATCATCTGAACTCTGATTTTGGCAAACTTATAGTTGAACTGAACATTTCGGAAATACTAACCCAAAGACACCAAATTCGACTCATTCCGAGCTCAAATGAGTCCAAATCAAAGACTCAAAGCTTCTTTTGAAGGTTCAAACCATAATTTGGATTACCAAACAGTTTCCAAACGTGACATGCTTATAGTTGAATCAAGAGGCACAACGAGATAAATCCAACGAGCCCAAGATCGCCAAATTCTGATATCATTAAGACATTCAGATGCCCAATGAACGATCCACAATCGAGGGACTCAACATCGGTCATCCATTCAAATCACTCCCAATTTACCCTTGATTTCCTCATATTTATTGACCATGACACTCTCAGACAACTATAAATAGACCCCTCATTTCTCATAAAGGGGTCCCTTAAGGGGGGGAGAAGGAGACCTAAGAAAGAAGAGAATGAAGAGAGCTTTCTTCCCACCAGACTCTTCCTCCACCACCGCCGGACTTCCACCCGGCAGGCTACAGATGTCGGAGTTCTGCTCGAACACCTAATGATGTCGGAGTTCTATCCAACCACTAACTTTTGTCGGACTTCTAACCGACGCCAAACTTCTGCCCGTTGCTGAACTTTCATCAAACTTCTAACCAACGCAGAACTTTCACCCGTCGTTAGATTTCTGTCCATCGTTGGACTTCTAATCATCAACGACCTTCCATCCAACGCCAGATTTCTACTCGATGTCAGACTTCTGCTCGACGCTGGACTTTTGTCGGACTTCTACCCAATACCGGGCTTGCTCCACTTGTCGTATTTCTACTTGACGCAGGACGTCTGCCCGTCGTTAAACTTCTCCCCGTCGCAGGACTTTCATCAGACTTCTACCCGACGCCAAACTTCGACCCGTCTCCAGACTTCTATCTGTCGTATGACTTTCATTGGACTTCTACCCGATGCCAGACTTCCGCCTGTTGCCAGATTTCTATCCGACACCATACTTCTACTAGTCGTCAGACTTATACCCAAAGTCAAACTTCCGTCCATCGCCCAACTTTCAACCTCTGTCACCAGCTAACTACGGTTCTTCCAATCATCCATTGCTTGACAATACTTTTTCATACCACTATTGCATGCCGACTACGGTCTCTCCGACCACCGTCACTAGACTATGGTCTTTCTGACCTCTATCGCCCACCGACTATGGTTATATCGACCAAACAAATGTATCAATAGTGATTCTTTCAAGTTCCATCATGTAACACACTCTATATGATGTATATTTGTTACATCAAGCCAAGGCCTTCCCCCAAGGGAGGGCCGCATTTGTACTCGATTGCAAATAATAGTGAATTCATTCAAACTAGGCCAACCTCGTTGTTTTCCCCCTTTTTAGGGTTTTCCGTGTAAAAATTTTCATGTCTCTTATAAATGCTGCACCCTTTCTTTTTATCTGTATGCATGTTGGATCTTCATACAAAGCTAAGATGTTAAACTTTATATTTCTCTTCCACTGTGAATCTTCTAGGACGCAATATTTTGGCACCATATATAGGAACATGATTCCCGACTGGGGAGGAAATTTTTGCTCCAACCTCAAAAGGTCATTCATGTTAACTGCCTTACATCAGCTATTATTGCATCAATTTCATGAGAATTAGATGCATACTAGGGGGTAACCTTGACTCCAACTATGTTCAAGAAGAATTCTTCAATGCTTTCAAAGTCAAGATGATATTTCAAGAAACTCTCAGCAAATTCAAGGTTGCTTCCAATAGATTTCAATCCTCATACAGTTCCTACCTGCACTTTTATTCCTTAGGTAGGGACTTAATCTCGACCTTAAAAAGGCAATAGCGGTCTAAAGATAGACCATTTTTCACCCTTGATTTAGGATACACGTGGCATTCGCCCCATCCCAATTAAGGAAAAATCAATCCCAGGGGGATTCAATTCGACATCTTCCATATAGGTTAATATCATCGAGTAGTGCTCTAACAAACAACCTTGGATAGATCATCCATCCTTGGTAGATTCTCTAGACCTCTTCCATATAGGTTAACGTTATCGAGTAGTGCTCTAGCATATAACCTCGGATAGGTCATAAAGGTGGTATCAGAGTAATAATTTTTGAATTAGATCATAAAATAGAACTATAAGAATTGATCTATAAGTCTAGTGGAGTAGTTCAAGTATGTATAAGTGATCATTATTTTTATTTTATGTGCATTTGTGTTTTGTTGCATATTCTGTGTGATCATGGATCTGCCACACTTAGATATGACCGATGGATAGAGTGCTAGTCATACAGCTCATGTATATAGTTCTGCTCCAACCAATAGTTGGTTCAGATGTAGTTTCATAGTTTGTTATATTTATAGCCCAGATGATGGGCCAGGCATAAAGTAGGCTTTCGATTGTAAGATCTGAAGAGGTATACAAACATATACAAATGTTTTTGAGATTGAAGCCTCCGAGATTTGATAGTACTGTTGAGCCCTGAGCAGTAGAGGACTGTTTGAGGATGCTGAAAAAGATATTTGATGGTATATAATATCCTCGTGAGAGAAAGGTACCATTAGTAGTCTTTCTATTGGATGGCGAGGCATAGCGCTGGTGGATGGGAGTAGGATAGTTATGCAGTATGAGGTAGAGTTCATTGCTTTGGCTAGATATGATCCATAGTTGATTAGTAATCCTAAGGAGAAGTGCTACAGGTTCCTGAGAGGACTTCAAGATAGTCTAAGACAGCCTCTTATGCCATTTCACATTTTTTATTTCTCTAAGCTTGTGGAGAGAGCTCGTCTAATAGAGAATGACCTAATGGCTACTTAACAGTGGTGGATTGCTAGTAGGAAGAGGTTCAGTGGTGAGACTTGTGGTAGTGACTTTTCTGAGAAGAATAGTAGATTTACACCTAGAGATTTTAGGAGAGGTGGACAGTCAGCATCTACAACAGCCTCTAGTAGTGGCAGCATAGCCAGTTTTGATTTTATTAGTGGGGCACCTATGTATCAGAGTTATGGTTGATGTCATTCTACTCAGTGCTACAGCATGACTGGACAGTGCTTCAGATACGATCAAATAGGTCATCTAGTAGCAGAGTGTCCACAAGCAGGATTTGACTCACGTTCTAAGTCAAGATATGAGAGCTTTGTTAGACTGGAAGGGAGACTGAGGGCAATTCCTCTTTATACTTTTCATGAGGGATCATCTAATAGAGCTGGTGGTCTGAGTTTAATAGCAAGGATACATTTTGGCATAGTTAGAGAGAGCTTAGTATTTTTGTTGCTCCAACTTCAATTAAGCCACGTGTATACACTTTGACTTAGTAGGAGGATCGTGATGCTCCTGAATGTTGTGATAGGTACAATTTATATTTTTGAGCAACTATGCCATATTTTATTTGATTATGGAGCTAGTCATTTATTTATTTTCTAGCATTACTTTGATTCACTACATGGCTTCAATTACACTACATGTTTTCCTTTTTGTTATTTTTCTGCCTAGAGATAGTATTATAGCCAGTGGATTCAATTTCTATGATATTGATATTTTTTATAAGAAATGGAAATCTAGTTTAATTTTATTACACATTTTCTCATATAATGTTATTCTAAGTATGAATTGGTTGAGTCAGTATGAGTCTTAGATTAATTACTTGAAGAAGTGAGTTAAGTTATTTTTGGGCAATAAAAGTTGTGTATTCCAAGGAGTTAGAGGTGTTTTATCCTATTTGATCTCTACATTGGAAGCAGATAGATTATGGAAGAAGATGTGAAACCCTTTAAATTTTTAAGAT